TAAAAATCTATCCTATTAACCTCTTAGAGAAATGCAACTATTAGGGGAAGGGGGAGGACGTCACAGGTAATTTCTTTTGTAAATTATAGTATTTCATTCGCAATATGCTTGCTTGATCCATCTCATGATCAAGAGAACCATTTATAAATTCCCAATCTCCACAGTCTACTCTAACCCTATGCGATGGTGTTAAGAATTAAGAGCTTCCTTTCGATTTAAAAAGTCTTCCGAATCATTTAATTTCACATAGAATTTCTCCCCCCGCCCATCACCACATCTCCATCTCCATCTATTCAGGATCGAGGGACCTTTGCTTCAATTTGCCACAGAATAAGAAGAATTTAACCCAATGGGGGGGGGGGGGGGGGGGGGGGAGATAATGTGTTTCGTAAATGAAAACCAGCATTTAATATACTAATATATATTATACAATTTCCTATCTATATATCCTGAAACTGATTTCTGGCCCGAATTTATAAAATAAACGCTACTGTCTGATAGAAGCTTGGGTAGTTGACTGACTGGCTGTTGGACCGGGAAGCCGGCTAGCCGGCTGGGTGCTTGCAAAATGGGTGGTCCTGGTCGGAGTGTCCTTGGGTCGGACGACAACTGCTGCTTGATGCTGAAAATCAGCAAAGCAGCCTTGGCCATGAAAACGAAGAAGCCACAATCTAAATTCCAAAAGCTGAAAAAGCTGAAAAACTCAAACGAGAAACGCGTTGCCAAACAAAGCCACATCGGTCGTCTATTGTGCGTGTGTGGATGTGTGTGAGAACAGACAGGCCGAGGTAGAGGTAGGGGTTGGGGTAGGGGAGAAGACAGGGACACGGACAAGAGCAGGGGCAGGGGCAGGAGCAGCCATCAGCAACCAACCAGCCAGCCAGCCAGCCAGCCAGCATTGGGACAATAGATGGCGACGTCGCTGCCAAGGCACACACAAACAGGACATTAAACAATTGAATGCGAAATGGGCATAAAAAACACTACAAGTAATTCAATAAGCAACGGGAGCACGTAGCGGGAAGCACAAATGAAGAGGGCGGGGGGGAGGAGAAAGCATAGAACAATAATATTATATAACCTACGCCAGCCTCGAGTGGCTCGCGGGTGCGAGTGAGAAGGCGCGCATTAGAAACAGCGACTCGCTGCTAAGCTTATTAGAGAACGAAAAGCAGGATAATGATGATTATGACGATGATGATGATGATGACGACGAGTAGCGCTCAAGGACAGCAAAGGCCACGACAAACGTGCGATTCTCAACACTGCAGCCGATGAAGGCCAACAACTGAAACTAATCTGCCCCCTTGAGGTACAGTTTCGCATACAGCCTTAGTTGGTCTCCTTTGCGGATCAACGCATTACCGCCTGAGATCAGCTGATGGGCGGCAGCTCAACAGACACTGTACACATTCCATCCATTAGACTGTCTTCCGCATCTGTGGAATTCTTTCTCTCCTTCACATCGCAAACATGCATTCATATGTTCATAAGCATGTTCCTTAAAGCTTATGCGGGCGCATCGACGATGCACAGTGGCACAATCAAAAGATTTTCGACAAATCTACACTATTTGATTTCATCACCAATACCGTGAATAAGAAAGTAATCCATGGAATCAATAGCCCATAAAAAAGCAATGTTATCAGTTTACGATTGAAAGTCTGCAGTCTTCTCGCTGTAGAATTGATCAATCAATTATGAAAATGTGCACAACAACGGTGAAGCCGAGAAGAAAACATCTTCCAAAGCAGAAACTAGTGCTGTGAAGTATGCGTCAGATAATGCGAGATTCTATTCATCAAAGAAGTATTCTTCGCACTTAGATTCAATTACAAGACCAAAAAGTGGAAGAAGGAAAATGAAGGAAAAGAAAACATCTTCCAAAACAGAAACAGCGAGATTCTATTCATCAAAGAAGTTATCTTAAATTCTTCACATCGTATTGCGTGCCTGAATTCTTAAATTAAATTTATGGCCAAAGAGTGGAAGGAGAATTTGAAAAGGAGGGATAACAGAAGATTCTTAGATTCCATTTAAAGACCTCTCCACATCATTAAGAAACCATCTTCGAAAACAGATGATTCTTGGATTCCATTAAAAGACCTCTCCGCATCAATGCTGTTGCGCGAACACCCACAGTACCTAGATGACTAAGCTAGAAGGGTGGCGGTTCGACTGATTTCTTGCCCTTCAATAATATGTTTTCATTTTCTTTTTCCTTCGAGTATAATCTAATTAACTCTTAATTAGAACTAAATTTTCCTCCCTTTTGCGCACTTTTTTGTTAGGTTTCTTAACATCTCTGACCACGCTTTTCTGTGAATCGGACGTGGCTGGGTGGCAAAGACAATTACCCCCAAGGTGACGAAAGATATCATTTGATATTATTGTAATTTTGTTTACATACTTCTATATATATATATATATATATATAAATATGTTGATTAATGTTAAAAAAATATCAGCGATTTTTCTATTAAAACAAGAGTGTTTCGGTGTATACGAGATTTTAGGTATTAAGAATCAATTCTACAGTTTTAGTTGAATTTAGAATATTTATTGTAATCAAAACATTTGTAATCAAAACATTTTCTCCCTTTTTTCAACTCTCCCTTTCTCAATGTGGCTTGCAGCATCATCACTTGCTTAAGTTCAGGGCGTTCGTTCCTATGACAGCTATATCATATAGTTAACTGATTTCAATGAAACTTAAGATTGTGGTGAGGCACTTTACCGAACATACTAATACCAGATTTGCTCAAGTTAAGGGATTTTTGCACAAACCGATTCTATAACAGATATACACGTATGTATAAAATAATGAAACTATATATGGTTTGTTACAGATTCAATATAAATACGTATGAATAAGACGAGACTACACACCAAGCTTAGTGCCTGTAGTTGTCGTGGTTCAAAAGTTTTCGGTGTTCATACAGTCGAACAGACAAATAGACTGACCCACGAGCAGAAGAACATATCTTAGGGTATGACAAATATTTGAAAAAGATACCACTACAGAGTTACAACTCTACAAGGCTATCAAAATATGTTTAAAGCTGCTTGTGAAAGATTATACGCTTCGAATGAAGGGGGTAAACACTTATGAGAGTGTGTGTCCACGAATCAGTAAAAGGAGTTTTTCTTTTTTTTGAAGTAGAATGAATGGAGAAAGTTAGTTTTCCTTTTCCTTAAGTGCGTACCACCGTGCTGCTGCGGCTGTTGAACTTTAAATTGATTTAAAAAATGTTTTTCCATGGCTAGTGACTGGGCAGGGGAGGAGGAAGAGGAGGGACGGGGAACAGCAAAATCAACAGCAACAGCGACATGGACAGGAACGATTGGTAGGGGAAGGGTGTGGTGTTCGCATTTACTTAACTTGAGAATGCATTAAATTTAGCCATCATGCCACAGACGGTGTTGCAAAAGATTAGCAGGGGCAGGCAGGGTGTGGCAAGCATGGGGCACTCACTAACTGACACTTCATTCATGCCACGCGCCTTCGTAGTCGACATTTAAGCATCACGGACTTTAAATAGATGCGACCACGACTACTGGTGGTCGTGGTGATGGTGATGGTGCTGGTGCTGGTGCTATTGCCTCTAGCTCTGCTGATGGGGAAGGCAAGCGAGACACTAACGATGCCAACTAATGGGCTTAAAATAGGCAGCAATTTCTTCCAATACTACACACGTACTTCAAGTATACGTGTACATGATTGCTTTGCCTTTTCATTACAATGTTGCCACAATTGCTGGCCACAATGGGCCAGAACTCAACTGATTTCGAATGCTCCCCCAAGGTTCGATTATTGAAAATGAAAATTATGAATATGAATAAAATGAATGAGCTTTTGTTGAACAGTTCTTCGAGTATTATAATTGACATTCTATAAGTCAGTATCCACCGTTCGGAAAGAGAAATCTTAGCCTAGAATTAAAATTTTTTCTACAGTTGGCAGAGCTCTGTTCTTATATACAGAACAAGCTAGTTCAAAATTTGACTTCAGGGCGTGAATATTTTATAAAAAAAATAGAGCATTTGTTGAACCGCTCTTAAGAATGGTCCGTTTCGAGATCGACTAAGGATTATGCATTATTTATTATTATTCGAAAAGCCAATACACAGATTTCAAATTTTCAGCTTTCTAATCTACAGCATCAGCTGTAGCCCTGATGCCACAGGCAGATCCAACAAGTGTACGGTTCAATAATTGTAGTCCAAAATCTTTCAATTTTCGGATTTTTACATATTTTTAAGATAACTTTTTTTTTATAAAATTCTTCCTCAAATTCGATTGAGATTGTTCTACAAGTTCCACTATCGGAACAAAGTTCATCAATTATTACCTTTTCACATTGGGACCTAACCTAGTCCTAACCTAACCTATCCAAGTCCCAGTTATAAGGCAAAATAGATTATATTTGTAGCTCGTTGTACGTAATTAGTTATTGGCATTAGGAGAGCTATTGAACTGAGAGATCTAGCATGTTATAAACTATATTTACTCAAGCCTGTGGTGAATGAAATTAAATTATTATGATGGTTAAATTATCTGTTTGAACATTTCAATAGAACAATTCGTAGCACTCGTATCTTTAATGGGTCAATTTTTGAATGAAATAAATAAGAAAAGACTTATACAATTATATGTGTTATAAAAACATATATACAATTTGTAGGGTGGAATAGGCATGATTCAAGATCTTTATCGATTTGAGAATGATAATGCCACAACATTTCAATGACTCCACCAGATTATAAGCTTCAATATCCCCATTTCTAAATTGGTGTTATTTATACTAGTAACAAAGTAAAGGTTTTTGAATTCTGAAAGAATTCTAGTGTTTAAAATATTTTGTAGCCTTTGAAAATTTCGCGAATTTCAGTTCATCTGGTAAGCGTTCTTATACATATATGTATGTACATACATATATAGTATGTACGATCAAATCTGATAGATGGTTAGGAGGATGCTTTTTCTTAGCTATACTTACAAATCTGTTTTGCTGCTTCTGCGCACTGATGATTGACGTTGATTGATGCCGTTTTCCACTTGGCCTCTGACTATATTTAGTTTGTCCTGAATTTGCAATCGCGTTCAAGCTTTTACTGCCTTCTTTCAAAAATTCTATGCTTTGGATTGCCGGCTGCTTCTGATGCTTTCTTCCTTCAGCTGTTAAGCTCGGAACTGTGCGAATAACGAAGCGTATAAGCGTTAATTTTCCGGCTTTTCTCTTGCACCCAACGTTTGTTGCCTGTCTCCTCGTCGTCTCTCTAGCGTTCTAGGGTACTATGTCTTGTGTGATTTGACTTAAATCGAACGCGGAAACGGAGGTGGGAAATAGTTTATGTACAAACGTGAGCGGTAATTGTGGTAAGAGATCAAAATATTAAGCAGCTACCCAAATTATTGACTTTTTCGAAAAGTTATTATTATTTATTATTATGTACGAATTTTAATTGAAAGCCGAAAAGTGTGTGAATGATGAATGAAAGATTTTTGTTATTAGATTTGTTTGGAGATTTTTCGATTTTGTACTTTTTTTTGTATTTTGGATTTTTGAAGCGAGAAAAATTTAAACTGAGACGTGAAAATTTTCACACAGGCCGTTGGCTGACAGTTAAAGAAAAGCGTTCGCTGCTCTCAAAGAACCACATACATATACATATGTACACACACATATGTATATACATAGGTACATATGCACATGTAGAGTTAAGTAAACATGGATTGAAGGCTCAGACCGGACAGTGTTGGAAAACGCGTGATAGTGTATGCGATAATGTGGCTACAAGTTTTGGCTTTAATTTGATTGATTTTCGTAAGGAAGTTGAGAGCGCATGGGTTATGGTTATTGATTTTTGTTGTTGTTTTTTATTGCTGCTGATGTTGTTGTACGTAGGTGATGATGACGGCGACGCATACAAGCGACTCGGCCGCTGGCCTTTGTTTATGTACGAGTGCGTGAGTGCGAGCGAGACGGCAACAGTTGCGTGTGTGCGTAAGATGCCGCCTAAGACGATAGCGGCAGCGACAGAGCGACGCGGCTGGAAAATTTTTTTCCTCACAAAAAAAAACTGGATGGGCAAGAAGCACTTTTGTGGAGGGGCAAGAAAACTTTTGCTATTTCATTTACAATTGCACATACAACACTACATTTGAGCTATGTATGTAGATATGTACATATGTATGTATGTAGGCATGTAAATGACTAACCGATTTAGTAACTGATTGATTGATTTGTTGGTAGACTGGGTTGGTTTGGGTTGGCTTGGTTTGGTTGTTCGCTTTGTTTTGCGGCTTTCGTTGCTGTTATTTTGTAACTTTTGTTTAACTATTTCATTTCACCAGATTTAACAAAAAAAAATCTAGCAAATCTGCGGCGGCTTTTGCTGGCGAACGAACGAATGCACGAACTAACGGCGACGAGTGAACTGATGTTGTTGAGAACTGGCGGAAATGGCGACGGCAACGGGCACGCTCACGCACGATGTAACAGACGAAGCTGAAAGTAGAATGAAAATGTTAAGGAAAATAATCAACGCCGGGCAGAGCGTCTGCCGGTGCCGGTATTGCGGTCTGCGTCGCAGCCAGCGTCGCATTTTCCCGTTCAGACCACTACGCATGTGAATTAGGCAGTGAAAGTTGTGCGTGTCCTCTTGTGGTTGTTGTTGCTATTGCTATTACTGTAACTAAGCGGCAGCGCTGCCGGCGTCTATCCAAAATGGCTGCCTGCGAGAGAGTGAGTGAGGCGTCTGTTCGCCTGCTGCTGCCTCTGCCGCTGCTGCTGCCGCTGCTGGCAATTCTAGAGCCGCCGGCATCGCTTGCCCTTTCAGAAGGCGCCTCTTGTACAAACCATCTGTTAAGCAATAGTTTGCACGCCACTCCAAACATTTGACTCAAATTCATTCATTCATTCGTTCATTCATTTGTACCAATTTATGTATGTTGTAATGAAAGGCTTTCGAATAGCACTAAATTAAAATCGTCCTCAATCTAATAATGCTCTTAATTTAGGAATAATGAATGCATTCTAAGAAACTAATATTTGATTCCCTAATGATTCGTAGACTGTTCTTGTACTACATGAATGTTCATTCATTCATTCATTTATAGTACATATTAAAATTCTAGTTTTTGTTTTGATTTCAGCTTGTTATCAGACTGTACTCTGTACTAATTAAACACGTTTTATAAAGATCTTCAGATATGTGTGTATACATATGTATGTATGTACATCTATAGATGATAATTTCGAAATAGTGCGAATACATTGGCTGATTCAAAGTGGGAACCCATTGAGTAGCCGCCACGAGGTGTTCCCGAAACTGCTCAGACACGGATAAACACATATTTTCTATATGAGTGATTTACTTTTTGGCAACGCCGCGACCCGTCGACTGCGACAGAGACTGCGACGTCGCTAACAATGTTACATGTCAGCGCAAAGAGAGTAAGAACAAGACAGAGAGCGAGAGAGAGAGTGAGAGAGAGAGCGCTTGAGAGTCTGGGTGTGAGTGTAAAGTGTATATGTATTTTGGGCAGAGGAAAAGTGAATTTTCATTTTCGTGTTTGCCATGCACAACAAAAGGCAGAGCTCGTGGAAAACTCACAAGCACTGAGGCTGGCGGTGACGATGGCGATGACGCTGACAAGGGTGGCCCGCGGTCGCTCTCTGGCGTTTGCTGAAGCGCTGTGGAAAAGTCGGAAAATTCTGCGGCACACACACACACAATGTTACATGTCAAGCCCACTTTATTTGTGTGTGTGTGTGTGTGTGTGTGTGCCGGCGTGGGCCGCTGCTGCTGTTTGTTGAGACTTGCTAAGATTTTTGGAAGGTGGCGGGCCTGGGGCCTAAATTGTGCGGACAAGCGACATGTTTCAAGTGATTGTTTTAAACACCTGAGTGGTGCTGGTGTCGCTGATGGTGTGGTTATAGGTTTGAAAGGTCTATGGCCCATTGATGGCTGCATTGTATGTAATACAAATCTCAAGGCTCCTGGAGTTCAAAGAAAACGATCGAACCTGCCCGAGTGTCTTTTTTTGATATTTAGGGCGAAGACGAGTTACTTATCTGTGTTCTAAGAGGAGGGCCTCTCATTTAATTCAATCTATAAACCTCTTATAAATTGTAAAGACATTTGCAAGAAAGAACGGCTTACTGCTAGAATTAATAGCTATTTTCCAAAACTGTTTCTACAAATAAGTAAAGGCTTTGACTTCAGGCCGGAACCTCAACCTTCGTTAGCAGCATCACAAAAATGAGAAAAATCAACTGAACCAAGTTAATACATTAATTCGATCCATAAACTATTAAGAGTATTGCCAGAAAGGAAGGGTTGCAAATAATTATTTCCCAACACCAGTCGATTCTACATTTAATTCTAGTCTAAGACTTCACCCTATCACCAGTAAGCTCAAACAATTTTAATAAACGATGCATTTATTAGTAAGAATTTTGCAAGAAAGAATGGGTGGCGAAATAGTGATAGCATCAATTATTTTTCCTTAATACCAAGACTGTTTAATTCAGTCTAGTCCTTAACTTTAGCCTTCAACCTTCGGCTTGCCTAAGTCCACTGATCTGTACTCAATAGTTATGTACAAATAAATCAGAGCATTTCAGTATACATATTGCTAGATTTCATAATCATTCCCAAAAACACAAATAGATTCTACCATTCTAGTCTTCAATGGATAGGCCAGTGGTTCAACTTTTTTGAGTCGCATCTCAAAAATCGTCCATGACGGGACTTAGAGTTGGCAATTGTGCTCGAGTGTGCTCATTTTTCAAGGCAACAACTGGTTTTCGTTGAGATCGTATATAAGAAGAAGAAGAAACAGTAGTGCCAGACAGCTAAATCCTGCGCTCACCCCAAAGGACATTTGTCACTACGTGCCGTTGGCAACAAGGCTCGCATACAGGAGATTTGGAAGGATTCGCTCGCAGTTGCGATGCGTCCCATTTCGAAATTTCGGTCGCTTACAGTTTTTTCAACCCCCGTCCGTCCAGTATTGAATACTAGTTCAAAAGACCAGAGCCCGTTGCTAATGCCGGCATGTGCGTATGTCTGGAATGTTGTGCTCTATACAATGGCTAGAACAACCACCATCACCATCACCACCACCACCAACAGCAGCAGCAGCAGCAGCAGCAGAAACGACCGAAACACTATCTCCACCACCCACCCCATTATGGTCGCTGTCCTAGCTTGGAATTCGATTACGATTTTAGCGCAGCGATTATAAATCGATAGACGTTCCTTCACTCGAAGGGGTTCTACTGCAGTGTAAAGCACCCCCAATCTCAATCTCAATCCCAATCCCAATCCTAATAACAATGCCAATCGGTCTAGCCACCACTTTGTCTCAAACACGTTCCGCATCCCGGTTGTGGACAAAAAGTGCGTAACATCGTTGTTGCCATCTTTGTTGCTCTAGGATCAAGGCTGTTGCCGCTGTAGATGATATATGGCAGTGTTCCTGTCCTGTCCTGCCCTGCTCTGCACTGCCCTGCCGGCATCCCCCAGCCCCGTGCTCGGCATTGTTGTCGAGCCTTTGCTTTTTATTATTATTTCATTAGATTGCAACCCTCAAGGGTCTAGACACACTAGAATGGCACAGCAATAGCAATAGAAACGGCAAATGTCCCGTGCCGGGCTAGCCCGGAAAGTGCGTAATAGTCTGCATTTCTCGTTTTGCTACCCCAACTAGAAGAGAGATTCGTTTGTCCTCTCGCACGCATTCCCGATCTCCTTCACTCCTTCACTCCTTCCCGGTCCCATTAGCTTTACTCTGATATGACGTCATTGCGCACCACAATTGCCTATAAGGCAGGTTATTGCCAGATGGTTGACTAAACTGTTACTCTAGGGCTATACCGACTAAATCGATTATTATAAGAGCGAGTTGGAATCGTTAACTATATGTTAAGACATTCCCCATATCCTCTAGGGTGGTATGCCAACTACACTATATTGCCTATAGTCTAAGGGTTTACTGACGCGATCGTTTAATACTAGTGTTAAATCAAATGACTAGCATATTCTTATTGACGTTGAGAGACCTTATTGTACTACAACCAATAGATGTCTATTGGGTTAGCCTGAGTTGCAGTCATTAACTAAAGTTTAAGTTTTTACCTAGGAAGATAAAACTGTGCCACTCAACTGTCGAAATATACTCATGCCTAAACATATAGTATCTCAGATTTCAGGCATCGGTCAGACATCTATGGGATTGTATGGGCACATTAAGGAATTACTTGGCGATTAGTCCTGAGCTCTACAGACAACGACTTCCCGTTTCCTAACCTCCATTGCGGGTCCCTTGTAGAGTCCACATCATTGCTTAGGACCAATCAATGGGCTTCCACCTTATTGCCGGCGTC